GGGAAACCATAAAATAAAATAAATAAATATAGAACATAGTCCCAAAATATAGACTCATTGGGTTGCAAAGGACCTCGGAGGTTTTCTAGTCCAATGGCCTTGCTCAAGCTATTCTGGACAAGTGGCTATCCAGACTCTTGTTGAAAAGCTCCGGTGATGGAGCACCCATAACTTCTAGTGGCAAGCTGTTCCACTGGCGAATCGTTCTCACCGTTAGGAAGTTTCTCCTTAATTCCAGGTTGCTTCTCTCCTTCCATTGTTTCTCCTCTTGCCTTCTGGTGTTTTGGAAAATAAGTTGACCTCCTCTTCTTTGTGGCAGCCCCTCAAATATTGGAAGGCTGCTATCATCTCGCCCCTAGTCCTTCTTTTGACTAGACTAGACATACCCAATTCCTGCAACCGTTCTAGCTATTCCACTGATTAATTCTTTCTCACTGCCAGGAAATTCCTCCTTAGTTCTAGGTGGGTTTTTTATGAGCTTCCACCTCTTACTTCTTGTCCTTCTTCTCTGTGACAGCCCCTCAAAAAGCAATAGCCCTTAGACGTATATATACTGCTTCATAGTACTTTTTACAGCCCTCTCTAAGCAGTTTACAGAGTCAGCCTGTTGCCCCCAACAATCTGGGTCCTCATTTTACCCGCCTCGAAAGGACGGAAGGCTGAGTCAACCTTGAGCCGGTGAGAATCGAACTGCTGGCAGTCAGCAGAATTAGCCTGTACACCAAGGAAGGAAGGAAGGAAGGAAGGAAGGAAGGAAGGAAGGAAGGAAGGAAGGAAGGAAGGAAGGAAGGAATAACAATAGCCCTTAGACTTATGTACCACTTTACAGTGCTTTGCAGCCCTCTCTAAGTGATTTACAGAGTCAGCCTCTTGCCCCTAACAATCTGGGCCCTCATTTTACCGACCACGGAAAGGTGGAAGGCTGAATCAACTTTGAGCCAGTCAGGACCCAACTGCCGACAGTCGGCAGAGTTTGTCTGCAGTGCTGCATTCTAACCACTGCGCCACCACGGCTCTTGGAAACATTGGAAGGCAGTTATCATGCCACCCCTAATCTTTCTCTTCGATAGGCTAGGTATAAGCAACTCAATTTGTTCATCATAGGGTTCAGCCCCCAGTGCCTTAATCCAGGGGTCCCCAACCTTTCAGACCTCAGGGACCACTAAATTCATAATTTTAAATCCCGCAGACCACTAATATGATCTGCCTAATGACCGGGTGAGAGAGAGGGAGAAAGAGAGAGGGAGAGAGAGAGGGAGAGAGGGGTAAAGGGAGAGAGAGAAAGAGAAAGGGAGAGGGAGAGGGAGAGGGAGAGAGACGATAGAGGGAGAGAGAGAGAAAGAGGGAGAAAGAGAGAGGGAGAGAGAGGGGTAAAGGAAGAGAGAGAAAGAGAAAGGGAGAGCTGTGAATTCTGTTCATTCACAGCCCATAATGAGTCACAAATAGTTTGTGAAGAGTCTGACAGAATTCTGCCACAGTCTTTCCGGATAAGGCTGATAAGCACCCACCTTTATCTCCCTTGCCAAAGACCTAATTGTCAATTAGCTTTGCAAGGCCACACGGAGCACAGAGTCAAAACGGATCTTCAGAATTTAAACCGACCAGCATGAACAAAGTTGCTTCCTGCAAAGGCTCATGTGTCTTTGCTCCTCCTTTATGTCTTATGGGAAGGGCCAATTATCTTCAAGCCTTACTCCCGAGTCGTCCCTTTGCTTTAGCTGCTCTTGCCTTCTGGCAGCTCTGCGCATGCACACGCTGGGAACAGGCTCCCCCTGTTCCTCTGCCTCACTGACGTCAGACTCTGGAGGCTCCGGAGTCAGCACATAACTCCCAGATGGCCCCTGGCCCCATCACTGCCTCTGATGCACAGCCCTCATCCGAGCCTTCCCCAGACTCCAGGACTAGCCCATGTTCCTCCCCAGACTCCTCACTGTCCGATTCTGCTGCCAGCTCCGGCCGACCACAACAACCCCAAGGAGAACTCCCAAACTGTGTACCAACTCTGTCCAGGGATGTAACAACCTCTCTGAGAGTCAAAGATAACACATCAGCAGACCTCAAGGGACCAAAACCTCAAAGCAACTCTCTTCTGCTAGGGTTGAGTCAAAGGCGGGTTCCTTCCCGTCTAAAGCCTCACATCTCCAGGCACTGAGTCAATAGCATCACTTGACTGCAGAGCAGGAATCTAGGGCTGGATCTCTCTCCTCCCCACCAACACCCACTGGAACTTAGCATGGGGAAAGGAAGAGAACCACTGCAAAGCAAGTGCCTCCCACTTCTAATCTCCCGAGCAGGTCCAGAAGGAGACCACATTTGATGGTACCAAAAGCCAACGAGAGATCTATGAGGGACCAGGATAATTGCACCAATATAATCCTGATCCCTCCAGAGATTGTCCACAAGTGTAACTAATGCCATCTCAGTATGGCACCCCAGCCTGAAAAGAGTCCAGATAATTTGCTTCATCCAGGGCCTTTGGCATCGGAGTGCCAATCACCCTCTCAACAACCTAGTCTCCAAAGCACCCGAAGGCCAGACAAGGAATCATGGATGGAAACTGAACAAGGAGAGATTCAACCTGGAAATAAAGGAGAAATTTCCCGACCATCAGAGCAATCAACCCATGGAACAGAAGTTGCCTTCGGAAGTTGTGGGAGCTTCATCCCTGGAAGCTTTCAAGAAGAGACTGGACTGCCATGTGTCGGAAATGGTGTAGGGTCTCCTGCTTGGGTGGGGGGTTGGACTAGATGACCTACAAGGTCCCTTCCAACTCTGTTAATCTGAATCTATCTAAGATGATCAAAGACTTGGCGACTAAAACATGAAGAACGGTTGCAGGAACTGAGCCTGGCTCGTCTAGTGAAGAGAAGGACCAGGGGAGACAGGATAGCAGAGTTCCAATATTTGAGGGGCTGCCACAGAGAGGAGGAGGGGGGTCAAGCTATTTTCCAAGGCACCTGAAGGCCAGACAAGGAATAATGGATGGAAACAGATCAAGGAGAGATTCAACCTGGAAATAAAGGAGGAATTTCCTGACAGTGAGAACAATCAACCCATGGAACAGAAGTTGCCTTCAGAAGTTGTGGGAGCTTCATCACTGGAAGCTTTCAAGAAGAGACGGGACTGCCATCTGTCAGGAATGGTGTAGAGTCTCCTGCTTGAGCAGGGGGTTGGACTAGATGACCTACAAGGTCCCTTCCAACTCTTTTAATCTGTTAAAAAAAAAACCCTTCCTTAAAAAAGGAAACGTTTAAAAAGTGGGCCAAAGTTACGCAACCTTGTTGAGAGTCCAAGGATGGCCTCTTGAGAAAGGAGCCCCACCACCACTTCCTTCAGGGCAGGTGGTATCACCTCACCTCCCCCAAATTAAGGCATTAGCTACCACTTGGACCCAGCCGGGTGCCGCCTTCCAAATTCGACCAGCTAAGAGAGGCATGGCTTCCGAAACAGAGAACGCAGGACAATTTTAAAATTGCACAGTTTGAGTCGGGATGGCCATTTAAACGCTTTGAGTAAACAAACAGCCTCTCTTGCCAGATGCGTCCAATTCCCAAACCATAAATGGCAACTTAGCGTGCCTCCATCCCTCCAGATGAAGGCAGTTCAGCTTCCCTGCATCCGAGCGTCCGTCATAATTATTGCACTGCCCGCCAGACTTAATCTAGGCTGGCTTCAATTAAAGAGGCGGCGGTTTTTGCAGTCCAGCTAGATGAAACGCAGGAGGCCCGCGTTTCAAATGAGCTGTTGGGGTTATTGCAATTTTTTTATATTTTTTTTTTTACTTCTTTGCTTTTGCTGTTCTTTTTGGGGCTTTAATCACTTTCTGCTGAACGCATCAAAAGAAGGATTTGTTTATTAAAAAAAAATAATAATCAGCTAAGTGGTTAGAAGAAGCAATTAAAGACAGCGCTGCCGCCGACTGAAAATGCTCCTTGATGAAGAGAGTTGTGAATTACTCACTTTTGAAATTGCTAATAATAAAAACGGGAGAGGAGAAGAGCTCGGTCTCCAAAGGGGCATTTTGCACTGGGTTGACAAACAGTAAATAAATAAATAGGAGATAAGGGGAAGAGCAATCACCATTCAGTGTTATGGAAACAACAAACCTCTTTACACATCATTAAAAATGAAATTTGAAGAACCAGCAATGGATTGCTTATTTGCACCAAACTGCACTCACATGTTGTACTAAACTATACAAATGTTGGGTTTATATGCAAGAATTTGGTAATATCTTGGTGTTGTGTGAAGGCAGTTTTGCAGAAATCCAAGCTGTGGCTTTAACTGCACAGAATTCCTTACAAACTTGTCTTCCATTTCTGCAATGCAACATCTTGAATTTTCCTAAATTTCAGCTTCGGTTCCAGAAAATCTCTTGCCTTCCTATCTTAAAAGAGTTAGAAGAGTAGACTGTCTCCTTAAACCAAGAATGAGATTGTTTGATTTAAGGCTACCATCTTAGGCTGATGTCCCCATTGCTTAACTGTTTAATTAAATCAAACATGGTTTAAACTCGTATAGCTTCACGGCGTGCACACAAAGCAAGGGAGAAGAACTAACCAAGAACTTTTATGTCTTTCCATTTAAAAATCGAAATTGCGTTTAGACCAAATGGTTCTTACTCCTAAGTAAATCTTAATAAAGAATGCAGTTTCACCAGCTGAAGTTTCATTACCAAACTAGATAACATCATCAGTGCTGGAAGGGAGTGCGGTTTATGGAGTGGAGGAAAGTGACCATGGGGTCCTTGGTGCTCTCTGAGCTTGGTGGTTCATTACCAAATGCACTGATTATGTTACCTAGTTTGGTAATTAAACGTCTACAAGAAGACCACCAAGCTCAGAGAGCATCACATTTTCCTAGCTAGCTTTCTCAGTTCACTCGCTGGCAAAACTAGCTGGTATGTTTCAAGATTGATCCAATATGCAGCTTTTGCTCCAAAATTAAAAACGCATGCAAAAAAACCGACTGTGAATTTTAAAAGTTTCTTGGGGTGGGGGGAAGGGGAGGAAAAGCCGAGATAAGCATATGGAGAAGGAGTGATAAAACGTTGCTGTGTCTTGAGGACATGAGGTTGGAGCTTGGCCTCCAACACTCCGGAAAAGGGACTTGGGCTGGAAGAGTTAAATATTTTTGAGGATTGGAGGCTGGAATTGGAAAACTGCAAAATAGAATATCCCGCAAAGTGACGCGGTGGGTTGATTGGACCTCTGAAATACCACTTCCGACGAATTGTTATCCAACATCTTTAAAACTTCCAGTGTTGGAGCATTCACAACTTCTGGAGGCAAGTTTTTTCCACTGATTAATTGTTCTCACTGTCAGGAAATTTCTCCTTAGTTTTAAGTTGCTTCTCTCCTTGATTAGTTTCCACCCGTTGCTTCTTGTCCTGCCCTCAGGTGCTTTGGAGAATAGCTTGACTTCCTCTTCTTTGGGGCAGCCCCTGAGATATTGGAAGACTCTGCTATCATGTCTCCCCTAGTCCTCCTCTTCATTAAACTAGACATACCCAGTTCCTGCAACCGTTCTTCATATGTTTTAGCCTCCAGTCCCCTAATCATCTTTGTTGCTCTTCTCTGCACTCTTTCTAGAGTCTCCACATCTTTTTTTCGTCGTAGCGACCAAAACTGGATGCAGGATTCCAAGCGTGGCCTTACCAAGGCCTTATAAAGTGGTATTAACACTTCACGTGATCTTGATTCTATCCCTCTGTTTATATGTTTGTGTGTATCTATCTTCCAAAGAAGGGTGGGAATTCATTCAATTAATATCATTGCTTATCAGACAAGTGGGTGACCGCTTGTCAATGATAAATTTCTACTTATCAAAGTTTGGTGACAGCATATTCTTCCCACGCTGCTTCTCACTTTCAGATCTGGCTGGCATCTTTAAATCATGGTTTCTTTCATCAGGGTTTGTTCAGAGAAGAGCTACGTTCAGCTAGGTTTCCCTGTAGCCGTCCTCCTTTAACCAATCTGGGAAAAAATATATATATCTCTCTCCAAAAGCTAAAATCGAGGCTGTATTTACTTCGGCAACAGACACTAGAATTATATCTGTGTCGTTTCATGCACCGTATGGGAAAACACAAACATTCATGCAAATAAGCAAATGCTTTTATTACTTTCCAGTTTATTACCGTTTTGCATAGATTGTGCCAAACGGTTCGGAGGAAATACAGATAGTCATCAAATCAACCTACGGCCACAACTGAGCCAACATTTCCACTGCTAAGCAAGACAGTTATTCAGGGAGTTTTGTCCCGTTTTACGACCATTCTTGCCGCCGTTATCGTTAAGCGAATCCCTGCACTTGTTAACTTAGGGACACGGCTGTGAAGTGAATCTGCTTTCCTGTCATAAATACGAGTCAGTTCCCCAAGCATCTGAATTTTGATCACGTGACCGGGGGGGGGGGGGATGCTGCAATGGTCGTTAAGTGTGAAAAACGGTCATAAGTCACTCTGAATAGAGTGCCGTTGTAATATCGGTCGCTAGACAAATGGTTGTAAGTCGAGAACGACCTGTGAAGATATCAACGGTCCCTTCAGAAAAAGGTGCAAAGATTTTAGAGGCAGGTTGGAGAGAGAGAGAGATGGAAGACAAGTTGATAATTCTCCTCCGTTCCTCCTCCTCTCTTTTACAGCCCACCTTTTTTGGGATCTCTGATCCCGAGGTGAACGGAAGATGCCACGTTCATTCTTAGTGAAAAACAGGAAGGTTCACTCGTACCATCATCGTGCCGTCGATGACAGCATCCTGGTGCCAAGGTGGGATACGGGCACCTCAGCGTCCTTCTCTGACGGTAGGTTGGATGATTTTCCCACCCAGAAATCTGGAAAAGGTTGCCGGATGTACACAGAATAAACCTCTTCTTTTCCACCTCTTCTGCTTTTGTGCAAATTTCTTCTCTTTTGGCTGGTCCTGATACCCCATTTCAACAAATGCAAAGGAAGCCCCGTCCCAAAATATTCCGTTGGGAGGACACTTTTCTTAAGCCACAATTAAACCACGGAACTCAGCTTTTGTGAGAAATGCACTTATCTCTACAATTGTTCCTTAGGGATATTTTAGTACAATTTAAGGACATTGTCTTCTACCTTTCCTTTCCTTCCCTTCTCTTTCCTCCTCCTCTTCCTCTTCCTCCTCCTCCTCCTCTCCTCTTCTTCTCCTCCTTCTCCTTCTTCCTCCTCCTTCTCTTTCTCCTCCTCCTCTGCCTCCTCTTCTTCTCTTCTTCCTCTTCCTCCTCTTCTCCTCCTCCTTCTCTTCCTCCTCCTCTTCTCCTTTTCTTTCTCCTCCTCCTCTTCCTCCTCTTCTTCCTCCTCCTCTTCTCCTCCTTCTCTTCCTCCTCTTCTTCCTTTTCTTCCTCCTCCTCTTCTTGATATTACAGTTATTTCTGATGACAGCATCCTGGAAGACAGCAAGGCCTTCCAGGCAGATAGTCCACCATGCTGTTCTCCAAAAGAAGAACAGGAGCTCCAGAAGGACAAGGAAGAACATTTTCCTGTTCAGAGTATAACACTGACAACACCAAATCCAGGTGAGCAATTCTTTGCTGGGTTTTCAGGCAATCCCTCACACCCAATAAAGCAGTGGTGAATTTTTTTTTTTTACTACCAGTTCTGTGGGCGTGGCTTGGTAGGTGTGGCAGGGGAAGGATACTGCAAAATCTCCATTTCCACCCCACTCCAGGGGAAGGATATTGCAAAACTCCCATTCCCACCCCACTCCTGCGGCCAGCCAGAGGCGGTATTTGCCGGTTCTCTGAACTTCTCAAAATTTCCGCTACCGGTTCTCCAGAACCTGCTGGATTTCACCCCTGCAATAAAGGAATATTTGTGGTTGACACCCAACGAAACAACCTTCCTTGCAATGCACACCGACAATATTCCTTGTAACCCATACCAGTGAAGCAATAGGAAAAAAGGTTATCGATAGAAGAGAGTATTTGTAGCTCAGGACTGAACCGTGGGGTCTGTTTAATGACCCAACTAGGGAACATCATCAGTACTAGAAGGCAGTGGTGGGTTCTAACTGGCTTTACTACCGGTTCTCTTTGTGCATGTGCTTTCATGCGTGATCGCCTCTTCATGCGCAGAGGGTCAAAAACAGGTTAAAATCAGGAAGTAACGACATCCAGGCTGTGGGCGGAGCCTCACGCTTCCGCCGCTACCAGTTCGCCGAACCACATGCTACCGCTGCTGCTACCAGTTTTCCCGAACTGGAGCAAACAGGTAGCATTTCACCCGCTGTTAGAAACCCCTTTGATGTTCCCTGACGCTCCTTTTCTGTTGTCTCAGAGGTGCCCGTCCCGGCTTTAAAACCTCAAGAGGCGAGCGCTTCCGCGTTCTACAACCCCAGTTTTGCCTGGAACGCCTTCCGCCCTCCGTTTGGCTACAGATCAATGACTTCCACCATGCTGGAGCACTCCATTCATCTGTACGGCACCCCGATCCTTCCGGCTTCCGACCTGCCTCTCGATTACAGCATGCCGTTCTCGCCTGAATTGGAGACCTACCACTGTGTCATATGCAACAAAGTGAGTTGCTCGGAGGACTCGGAACAGAAGAGAAAAGCTGGTTCTCAACCTGAGGTGGTCACAGGGGCATCGCGAGGACTTGAAGAAACATTATGATTTAAATCTCGAGTTAAGTCTTGGGGGGCGGGGGTGGGGGTTGTGATCGTGGTCCGGGGCCACAAAAGGAATTTAAAAGGGCCCGTGATGAAGCAAAGGTTGAGGACCACTGGAAAAAGTGGTCAAGTGTGATTAGACACACAAGGAGCTTGTCTCCGGTGCAAAAGCTCTCAGTGTGCACAAGGAGTTTGTCTCCAGTAAAAAGCTCTCAGTGTACACAAGGAGGTTGTCTCCGGTGCAAAAGCTCTCAGTGTGCACAGGGAGGTTGTCTCCCGGTGCAAAAGCTCTCAGTGTGCACAAGGAAGTTGTCTCCGGTGCAAAAGCTCGCAGTGTGCACAAGGAGTTGTCTCCGGTGCAAAAGCTCTCAGTGTGCACAGGGAGGTTGTCTCCGGTGCAAAAGCTCTCAGTGTGCACAAGGAAGTTGTCTCCGGTGCAAAAGCTTGCAGTGTGCACAAGGAAGTTGTCTCCGGTGCAAAAGCTCTCAGTGTACATGTAAAGCAACAGAGTAATAATAATAATCATAATAAGGATACCAAGGGTTAGTAGAGAATAATAAGGGTTAGTAGAGAAGATAAGAAGGATAATAATAATAATAGTAGTAGTAATACTACAGTCCTACAAGATGGGTAAATAGACATAGGAGTGTACAGGTAGTCCTCAGCCTACGACCGCAATGGAGCCCGAAATTAATGTTGCTAAGCGAAACATTTGTTAAGTGAATTCTGTCCCATTTTACGGCTTTTTTCGCCACAGTCGCTAAGTGAATCACTGCCATTGTTCAGTTAGGAACACGGTTGTTAAGCGAATCTGGCTTCCCCCCCCCCCCCCCCCTTTGATTTTTGCTTGTCAGAAAGCCGTAAAAGGGGGATCACACGACTCTGGCTCAGTGGCTAAGACGCCGAGCTTGTCGATCAGAAAGGTCGGCAGTTCGGCGGTTCGAATCCCAAGTACAGGTCACAGGGGGTTGGACCAGATGACCTCCCAAGGTCCCTTCCAACTCTGTTCCTGTTAAACTGGGGGACCCTGCGACCGTCATAAATGTGAGTTTCGACGGCCCGTACGCCTTTGCTTTCTAGATATTCTCTACCCCACACGGGCTGGAGGTCCACGTTCGACGATCCCACAGCGGCACTCGGCCTTTTGCTTGCAGCGTTTGTGGGAAAACATTTGGGCACGCTGTCAGTTTGGAGCAACACACCAACATCCACTCTCAGGTCAGTCTGGAAGCCCGGAGAGTGGAGGGGAAAATAAAATAAATAATAATAAAAATCTCCTGGATAAAACTTGTGGCTTGTGTGCCCAGATCCTGCTCGCCGGCCTTGTCGGATAAATACCGCCATTAAAATATCTATCTGTCATTGGGTTTATAACACCAATACCGATAAAGGAGAATATTTGTAGCTCGGGGTGAAAGGAAGGATATCCTTGGTGTTCTAGGAGGGAGTGGGGTCTGTAGAATACAGGAGGAAGAGGAGGAGGAGGAAGAGAACTGTAGGGCCCTTGGTCCTATCTGAGCTTGGTGGTTTTCTTGCAGACGTTTCTTGACCCAGCTAGGTAACATTATCAGTGCTAGAAGGATGTGTGGAGAGGAGGAGGAGGAAAAAAGGAGGAGGAAGAAGGAAGAGGAGGAGGAGAAGAAGAGGAAGAGGAAGGAGGAGGAGGAGGAGAACTGTGGGGCCCAGCTTGGTGGTTTTCTTGCAGACGTTTCGTGACCCAGCTAGATAACATCATCAGTGCTAGGAGGGAGTGGGGTCTGTAGAATACAGGAGGAGGAAGAGAACTGTAGGGCCCTTGGTGTTCTCTGAGCTTGGTGGTTTTCTCGCAGACGTTTCCTGACCCAGCTAGGTAACATCATCAGTGCTAGAAAGGAGTGGGGTTTGGGCAGGGGTGAAATCCAGCAGGTTCCTCAAACCCCTCCCCCTCTCCCCCCCCATGCTGTCCTGATCCCCAGGAGAAAAGCTTCGAGTGCAAAATGTGCGGAAAGACGTTCAAACGGTCGTCCACTTTGTCTACTCACCTGCTGATCCACTCCGACACGCGTCCGTACCCCTGCCAATACTGCGGGAAACGTTTCCATCAGAAGTCGGATATGAAGAAACACACCTACATTCACACAGGTGAGCGGGAGGAGCTGTGGGGGGGGGTTCCATTCCAGGGATGGGCTGTGCAAAGCCTTTGAGGGAGGGTTCTCCCAACCCCCCAACCTCCCTCGGCGTTAAGGAGCGCCTTTCTTCCGAGGAACGAAGGCTTTGCGGCCAGTCCTTCGAGCACCATTTTTTGGCTGCCAAAAAAGCCAACACAGTTCTGGGCTGCATAAACAGAGGGATAGAATCAAGATCACGGGAAGTGTTAATACCACTTTATAAGGCCACACATGGAATATTGCATTCGCTTTTGGTCGCCACGATGTCAAAAAGACGTGGAGACTGTAGAAAGAGTGCAGAGAAGAGCAACAGAGAGGATGAGGGGACTGGAGGCTAAAACATATGAAGAACGGTTGCAGGAACTGGGTATGTCTAGTTTAATGAAAAGAAGGACTAGGGGAGACATGATAGCAGTCTTCCAATATCTCAGGGGTTGCCCCAAAGAAGAGGCAGTCAAGCTATTCTCCAAAGCACCTGAACGCAGGACAAGAAGCAACAGATGGAAACTCATCAAGGAGAGAAGCAATTTAGAACTAAGAAGAAAATTTCTGACAGTTAGAACAATTAATCAGTGGAACAACTTGCCTCCAATCAATACTATAAGATTAACAATAATGAGTAACATATAGTTCTTTGTTTCAGCAATATTAACTCAAATTTCCCGATCCTTATTTAGATTTCTTTTTTCTAACCGTTTGTAGAATTTGTTCCACAAAACAATAGTCCGAATAGGACTATAATAGTCCGAAAATCTTTCTCTTTCCTTAAGTTCCATTGTCGTTTTATCCATTTCTGCACATTGTAAAATTTTCCTAATTTACTATTTCCTCTGGTGGTATATTATTTTGTTTCCACCACCTTGTGCCAGGGTAATCCTTGCTGCCGTCAGTAAGTGAAGTATTAGGTATTGCGAAAATTTCTCAATTTTTGGATTATTATTATTATTATTAGTCATATTTCTATGCCGCCCACTCTCCGAGGACTCTGGGCAGCTTACACCAAAGACAGTATACTAAATAGCATAATTGCCCCCCAACAAACTGGGTCCTCATTTTACCCACCTCGGAAGGATGGAAGGCTGAGTCAACCTTGAGCCGGTGAGATTTGACCCGCTGATCTGCTGAACTAGCAGTCAGCTGAAGTAGCTGCAGTACTGCACTCTAACCGCTGCGCTACCTCGGATCTATTATTCCTAATAGGAAGAGCTCCAAGGCCCCTTCCAACTCTGTTACTATTACTATTAAAGTAGCAGTTCTTATTATTATTATCCCTTTTTTCCCAACGTCGTTGTCACTTTGAACAGTCACTAAATGAACCGTCGTAACTCCAGGACTTTCCTGTGTGTCTGCTAATTTCGCTGACTGTAATGCCAGCGAATTGGCCACCCGAGTTTAAAAGCCCGGCAGAACCGAAACGGGCAAGGAGGACCAGTTGTGATCTAAGAAGGTGAGACTGGATTTTACGTCCTTAACGTTCCTTTTTCTCTGTTCTGGCCCAGGGGAAAAGCCGCACAAATGCCAGGTGTGTGGCAAAGCCTTCAGCCAAAGCTCCAACCTCATCACCCACAGCCGCAAACACAGCGGCTTCAAACCTTTCACCTGCGAGCTGTGCGGGAGGGGTTTCCAACGCAAGGTGGATCTGCGGCGTCACCGAGAGAGCCAGCACAGCCTCAAGTGAAGGGGGAATTCCTATCGTGGAATGAGCGGTGGAGGATGGTCGGGAACCTGCAGCCCGAGAGCTGTAGGCAGTCCTTGGCCCCAGATGGTTAAATCCCACCCACTTCGGCTTTTAGCGGCACCCATTTTGCTTCTGATCCCGCCTACTTTGGGCCTTGGCGCCACCCGCTGGGGTAGATCTCCGATTGAATCTACAACTGTGGAAGCCCATAAAAAGCCCCGTTGGGTTAAGGATGGTAGAAAAATAATAATAATAATAACGCCTTTAAGAAAGATTACTTTTTTTCCCTTTCTCTTTCACCAAGCAGATACATGGAGTAAAAAGGAGCAAGGGTTTGAGAGAGAGAGAGAGGGAGAAGGAGAAGGAGAGAGCGAGGGAGAGGGAGAAGGAGAGAAAGAGAAAGAAAGCGAGAGAGAGAGAGAGAAAGAAAGCAAGAGAGAGAGAAAGCAAGCAAGAGAGAGAGAGAAGGCAAGAAAGAGAAAGAGAGAAAGCAAGAGAGAGAAAGAGAAAGAGAAAGAAAGAGAGAAAGAGAAAGAAGAGAGAGAAAGCAAGCGAGAGAGAAAGAGAAAGCAAGAGAGAGCGAGAGAGAGAGAAAGAGAGCAAGAGAGAGAGAAAGCGAGAAAGCGAGAGAGAAAAGAAAGAAAGTGAGATAGAGAGAGAAAAAAAGAAGGGGGGAAGAAAGAATCTGGATATACTGTGTTTTTTTGGGCTTTGCAATGCAACAATGTTCGGATTAGAAGACTAAGTTAAGGGAAAGGGTTTAGGAGAACTCACCGGGTTGAATAGGCAAGGCAAATCTGCAAAACAACCCATAAAAAACAAATCAGACAACAGGTTTCCGTGGTGGGAGACAAAGGATCTGTTGTTCATGGATATTTCCATCGCTATCCATAATTTACATGATCCATTGTGCAAAGGTATCAAGATTTTTGCCTCTGTTTGAATCTCTGTTTCCTGAAAAAAAAAAAAAAAAATTGGACGTCAATAAATGCTGTTAAGAAATAAAATTTGAGTCATGAAACCTCCTTTGGCATTGGTGAAAGAGTTTGATACCCCAGGACATATTCAGACAACACACGGGGCCATAATGCAGGTTAACATGATATAATAGATGTCTTCGCACTATAGAGCTCTTGTTGGGGCCAAGAGGCTGACTCTGTAAACTGCTTAGAGAGGGCTGGAAAGTACTGTGAAGCGGTATATAAGTCTAAGTGCTATTGCTATTCCTCCCTTATCTTCCTTCCTTCCTTCCCTCCCTCCCTCATTCTTCCTTCCTTCCTTCCCTCCCTCCCTCCTTCCTCCCTGCCTGCCTCCCTCCTTCCTTCATTTCCTCCCTCCCTCTTTCTCCTTCCTTCCTTCCTTCCTTCCTTCCTTTCGCCCTCCCTCCCTCCCGCCTGTGATTAGAATGCCATATTGCAGGGTAACTCTGCCAATTGCCAGGAGTTCGATCCTGACCAGCTCAAGGTTGACTCAGCCTTCCGTCCTTCCGAGGTGGGTAAAACGAGGACCCAGATTGTTGGGGGCTAAAGGCTGACTCTGTAAACTGCTCAGAGAGGGCTGTAAAAGGATTGTGAAGCGGCATATAAGTGCTATTGATTCCTTCCTCCGTCCGTCCTTCCTTCCTTCCTTCCTTTCCTCCCTCCATTCCTTCTTTCCTTCCTCCCTCCTTTCTTCCCTCCCTCCCTCAGCCTTCCGTCCTTCCGAGGTGGGTAAAATGAGGACCCAGACTGTTGGGGGCAAGAGACTGACTCTGTAAACCGCTTAGAGAGGGCTGTAAAAGCACTATGAAGCGGTATATAAGTCTAAGGGCTGTGGCTATTGCTATTACAGCTTGTTAAGGGAAGAGAGGGGAACGGGGTAACAGTAAATACACAAAAGACTCACACATATTGTTTTTCCTGGAAGGGCCCTCCGGCCATCACTTTGCATGACCCTGATTTGCTAACCAAAGCAGGCCATCCAAAGATAGCTGTCAAGAGGCCGGGAGGCGTTGCGCAAGAGAAGCCGAGTTCGGAGAACTGGTTTTCTCTGCGGCTCCCGCTTGGATGAGATTTTGGCATCGGCTTTGGGTCTTGGTTAACTGTCAGTCAAATGCTGCGGGGTGGGGTGGGGGAACTGTTAAGGGAGGCGAACGACAAAGAAGTGTTGTTGGAGGTGGGAGTCGAATTTGCATGCTTTCTTTTGAGAAAGGAGAAGTGCGTGGATTCCCATGTATGAACCTTCAATCCGGTGGAAGATTTTTGAGGGTGGAGAAGGACAGGGGGGCCTGACGTATTTTCCTTCGTTCCTTCCTTCTTTCCTTCCTTCCTTCCTTCCCTCCCTTCCCTTCCCTTTCCCTAAACATATTCCTTCCTTCTTTCCTTCCGTCCTTCCTTCCTCCCTCTCTCTCCCTCCCTCCCTCTCTCTCTCTCTCTAAATAACGTTAATAGATTTAAAATAATGAAAACCAAGAAGAACTTATAATTAAGAAAGAAGAGAACAACTAAAGAATGGAAAAGAAGCCAAGTGAGGAAGAAAGGAAGGAAGACAGGAAGGAAGGGATGGAGGGAAGGAGGGAGGGAGGAGAATAGAATAGAATAGAATAGAATAGAATAGAATAGAATAGAATAGAATAGAATAGAATAGAATAGAATAGAAATTTTTATTCGCCAAGTGTGATTGGACACACAAGGAATTTGTCTTTGGTGCATATGCTCTCAGTGTATATAAAAGAAAAGATACATTCATCAAGAATCATAAGGTACAACGCTTAATGATAGTTATAGGGAAGAAAGAAAGAAAGAAAGAAAGAAAGAAAGAAAGAAAGAAAGAAAGAAAGAAAAAAAGAAAAAAGGGAAGGAAGGAAGGAAGGAAGGACAGAAGGAAAGGGAAGAGGGAAAGGAAAAAAAGAAAGAAAGAGAAAAAAGGGAAGGATGGAAGGAAGGGGAAGGGGAAGCAAGAAAAGGAAAGAGGGAAGGAAGAAAAGAAAAGAAAGAAAAAGGAAAAAAGGGAAGGAAGGACAGAAGGAAGGGGAAGAGAGAAAGGAAAGGAAGGAAAGAAAAAAGAAAGAAAGAAAGAAGGGAAGGATGGAAGGAAGGGGAAGGGGAAGCAAGAAAAGGAAAGAAAGAAGAAAGGAAGGAAGAAAAGAAAAAGAAGAAAGAAAGAAAGGAAGAAAGAAAGAAAGAAAGAAGGAAAGAAGTCAAATGACTTCTGACTTTCTTTTACCATGGATATTAGTATATATTTACATTAAAGTCTCATTCTATGTTTACAACATAACATTCATTTTTGACTTTTATATATATATATATATATCCCTGTTGAAAAAGCTCGCAAAGCAAAGAGGATTGATGTGGGAAAGTGCAGCTTGGAAATCTGAAGCGATCGAGGGGTTGGGTTGATGACCTGCGTTTGGAGTGATAAGTTTATCGGGCCTCGCCGGCTGTCAACGGTCAGAACGCCTGTTTGGAGGGGGGGACCAGCTCCCAGGGCAAGATAGGTCAGCCCTGGTCTTATCAACCCCGGTCTGAATGTCAGGAGTCCCCAAACATCCCTCCTTCCCCTCCACGGAGGCAGATTGACAGCAGGGGGGAGAGTGAAAGACAAATGCCAAATCTCTCCAAAACTCTTTTCTTCTTACTCCACCTCCCTGCCCCGTGCCTCTCATTTTATTTAAGAATTTTGATCATAATAGTAAAATCTAATACAAGAGAAGAGAAGAGAAGAGAAGAGAAGAGAAGAGAAGAGAAGAGAAGAGAAGAAGGGGAGAGGAGAGGAGAGGAGAGGGAAGGGAAGGGAAGAAGGAGAGGGGAGAGAAAAGGGAAAGGGAGGGGAAGGGAAGGAGAAAGGGAAGGGAAGAGAAGAGAAGAAGGAGAGGGAAGGGAAGGAGAAAGGGAAGGGAAAGAAAGGGAAGAGGAGAAGAGAAGAGAAGAGAAAAGAGAAGAGAAAAGAGAAGAGAAGAAGGGAAGGGAAGGGAAGAGGAGAGGAGAGAGAAGGAAAGCTAGAGAAGAAAAGGAAAGGGGAAAGGGAAAGGGAAAGGGAAGGGAAGGGAAGAAGGAGAGGGGAGAGAAAAGGGAAAGGGATGGGAAGGGAAGGGAAGGAGAAAGGGAAGGGAAGGGAAAAGGAGAGAAGAAGGGGAGAGGAGAGGGAAGGGAAGGAGGAAGGGAAGGGAAGGGAAGAGGAGAGGAGAGGAGAGAGGAGAAGGGAAAGAAAGGGAAGAGGAGAGGAGAGGAGAGAAGAGAAGAGAAGAGAAGAAGGGGAGAGGAGAGGAGAGAGAAGGAAAGCTAGAGAAGAAAAGGAAAGGGAAAAATATTATTATTATTTTATTTATTTACATATCTGTTTTCCCTCTGGAATACTCCAAGAGGCTAACAATCTAATATAAGATGTCACAATTAAAAAAGATAATTTATGTAATGACAACTGCCTTACAGGCTGTATTCCACAGTGACTGAACAATTATTTGCTGCTTGCTGGATTGAAATGGGGAGGAGGGAGGGATTAGGTGGAAGAGCAGTGGATGATGGGTTCAGACAAGCATATTGAGTGTGCTTCAATGATACGGGTTGTGTGCGTGTGTCATATGTGGAGCCCCGAGACGTGATGTCCAAAATGCTTGCAAAAAAGCTTTTTTTTCCCAGATCATTTCCAAGCGAGCTCATTTATCTACTGTCCCAAATTTGCGGCTTTCATTTCATTTTTGGCTATGGCTTAAAAAAAACCCAGCATGCTTCCTTCCTTTCTGCCCAACGCAAACTATCTTTCAGGAGCAGGAAGTTTTTTAAAAAATAGCAAGAAAAACCACCGGGAAACCCACAGCTGAATAAAGCTGTCCCTCAGATGATTGCATCCCCCGAGCGTCCTGTGGGTTCAACCTGTCAATCACCCACTCCCAAGGCCACTTGAAAAATCCTTTGTGTTCAAGAAACTGAAGTGTGCTATAACACACCATAGTATTTAAGGTGTTGTTGGATTAGCCTAAAGGTTTTTTTTTTAATTTTATAGACTTGGGGTTTTAAATTGGGAGGCCGATTTATTTAATCTCTTTTAATTATCTTAACTTTTGTATTGTATGTATTTTAATTTTGGCTGTTCACCGCCCGGAGTCCCTTTTGGGAGAAGGGCGGTATACAAATTAAATTAATAATAAAGAGCCTTGGTAGTACAGTGGTTTAATGCATCCTGTAATTAACACAGCTGCCTGCAATTTCTGCAGGTTCGAATCTTACGAGGCTCAAGGTTGACTCAGCCTTCCATCCTTTCTAAGGTAGGTAAATTGAGGACCCAGTTTGTGGGGGCAATAAGCTGACTTTGTATAAATATACAAAAGTATGAAGGCTATTGCTTAACGCACTGTAAGCCGCCCTGAGTCTCCGGAGAAGGGCGGCATATAAATCAAATTAAAAAAAATAAAAATAAATAAATAAATAAATAATAATAATAACAACAACAACAACAACAACAACAACAACAATAATAATAATAATAATAATAATAATAATTTTAGTCCAAATAGTTGGATTAGAAGACATCTAAGGCAGGGGTGGGTTCTACTTACCTTTCCTACCGGTTTGCAACGGGACTGTGCATGCGCAAAAGCTTGATGACATCATCCATGATGACATCATGGCGGGTGGGCGGAGCTTCCCGCCGGTTTTACTACCGGTTCTATAGAACCGGACTGAACCGGGAGCAACCCAACACTGATCTAAGGAGTCTGGAAGACTTCCAAAGATCTAGAAAGATCTTGAGCGGCTGCCACGCAGGAGAGAGGGAGTCAAGCTATTCTCCAAAGCACCTGAGGGCAGGAGAAGAAGCAACGGATGGAAACTAACCAAGGAGAGAAGCAACCTAGAACTAAGGAGAAACTTCCTGACAGTGAGAACAATTAATCAGTGGAACAACTTGCCACTGGAAGATGAGAATGCTGCAACACTGAAAGTTTTCAAGAAGAGATTGGACAACCCTTTGTCTGAAGTGGTGTAGGGCCATGATGGCGAACCTGTGGCAGGCGTGCCAGAGGTGGCACGCACAGCCCTCTCTGTTGGCACACGCGCCATTGCCAGCTGCTCTTCTGGTTTCCGGCACGCACATGCACGCCACCCAGCTGCTCTTCGCAGGTGCTGGAGCGCCCGAAAACAGCCCGAAAAGCAGCCAAAAAACGGGCCATTTTCATGGCCCTTTTCAAACCGTTTTTCTGGGCTGTTTTTGACCAGAAAGTGGCCTGAAAACAGCCTGGAAAACGACCCAAAAACAAGCCATTTTCTGAGCCGTTTCTGGGCCTTTCCCCAGCCTTTTTCAAGGCCATCTTTTGGTTGTTTTTTGGGCTGTTTTTCGGGCCATTTTTCGGCTGTTTTCGGGCCAGAAACAGCCCTGAAAATGGCCCGAAAAACGGCCAAGAAACAGGCATGTGCGTGTCGGCTAGCTGGTCTTCGGTTTTCCTGTGTCTGCTGCACACACCTGCACGTACATGCACGCACGTTCTAGTTTGGGCACTCGGTACCGAAAAGATTTGCCATCCCTGGTATAGGGTCTCCTGTTTGAGCAGGGGGTTGGACTAGAGGACCTTCAAGGTCCCTTCCGACTCTGTTATTCTAGCAACTCTTTGGTGCACCCACTTTGGCAAATATAAATATTCTTGCTGGCAACTTACTAGGAACCGTCTTCTCCCAACCATATTTATTTATTTTAAAATATTTGCAGTATATGCCTCCCCCCCCTCCCCGCATCTTATACAAGTAGTCCTCGACTTACAACGGTTCATTTAGTGACCATTTGAAGCGGCACTGAAAAAAGTGACTTATGACCATTTTTCACACTTAACGACCGTTGCAGCATCCCCCCGTGGTCAACGCGATCAAGATGCAGATGCTTGGCAACTGACTCATATTTATTTATTTTATTTTATTTTGTTTATTTGTTTCAATTTGTATACCGCCCTTCTCCAGCAGGACTCAGGGCGGTGAACAGCCAGAATAAAAACAGAACATACAAAAATTTAAAAACGGTTTAAAATAATTAAATATTTTTGGCCGCAGTTTAAAACAAACCCAATTTAAAATCAATTAAATTTTAACCCAAAACTGTGGGATCAAGCCAGCCCGGCTAGCTTATGACGGTCGCAGTGCCCCCGGGGTCATGTGATTTTTTTTTGGTGTTATTAACAGAACAGCTGCAGTGATTCCCTTAACAACGGAGGCAAGAAAGGTCATAAAATGGGGCAAAACTCCCTTAACTTGTCTCATTTAGCAACAGAAATGTTGGCCTCAGTTGTGTCGTAAGTCAAGGACTACCTTGCAGTACAGCTCTGAGAGGTTTGCAGCAACAATAAAACCACAAACAGAGAACAACCCAAAAAGCAAACTAAAACCAGCCGATACAATCATCTAGAGCACATTTTTTGGTAGAAAAATGGGGAAGGAAAAAATGCTGTTTTCTTTCCTTTGCAGGTATCCAAAAAGGTTGATCTGAAATTCTCTCGCATTTCACCGCCTCTTTTCTCCTCCTCAGCCTGCGGAAATGAAATCCCTCGGAAAGGCTCTGAGTCGCAACCACTGTTTTATCACTTCTCACCACTTGCCGCCATTGTCCTGCGCTTTCTCCGCCTGTGGGTGATTCAGCAAAATCTTCCTGGGGCAGGAAAAAAAAAAACAGGCTTGCAGAGAAGCAAATCACAATGGCAGATGACCAAGAGGAAGCAAAAGAAGATATCGCAACAGGGAGACTGGTTCCTGAATAGGAATAAAATGGAAGGGAAGGGAAGGGAAGGGAAGGGAAGGGAAGGTGGGATGGGATGGGATGGGATGGGATGGGATGGGATTGGGATGGGATAGGATAGAATAGAATAGAATAGAATAGAATAGAATAGAATAGAATACAATACAATACAATACAATACAATTACAATACAATACAATACAATACAATAGAATACAATAGAATACAATAGGAAACAGAAAACAGAATAGAATAGAGAATAGAATAGAATAGAATAGAATAGAATATAGAAAGAAATTAGAGTAAAGTAGAGTAGAATAGAATAGAATAGAAAACAGAATAGAATAGAGAATAGAATAGAACAGAATATAGAAAGAAATTAGAGTAGTAGTAGAGTAGAATAGAATAGAATAGAATAGAATAGAAATAAATAGAATAGAATAGAACAGAATAGAACCTTTATTGTCACTTTAAATGTACACTAATCAGCATCCATTAAAATGAAATTTCGTTCCATTCAGCTCTCAAAAGATAACCATTATGCATATACCCACATACACAGACAAATATGACAGACAAGCATCAAAGTCTAGTTTGAATGTATAGGGAGGAAGGGAGGGAGGAAAGGAAGGAAGAAAGGAAAGGGCAGAGAAGGACGGAGGGAGGGAGGGAGGGAGGAAGAAAAGAAAGAAAAGAGAAAGAAAGAAAGAAAGAAAGAAGAAAAGAGAAAGAAAGAAGGAAGGAAGGAAGGAAGAAAGAAAAGAGAAAGAAAAGAGAAAGAAAGAAGGAAGGAAGGAAGGAAGGAAGAAAAGAGAAAGAAAGAAAGAAAGAAAGAAAAGAGAAAAGGAATAAATAAATAAATAAATAAATAAATAAATAAATAAATAAATAAATAAATAATAAGGGATTACGAGAGTCGGAGAAGAAAGAGGAAAGAAAGAGGCAGGGCAGCCACCCGCCTCCTGCTTCGGGCAAGGTAGGAACTCTCCTTCCTCGGAACCTTACTTGCTGGAGCCGCGTGGCTGCGGGACCAGGGGAGGGAGGGGGACACTTTTAAGGGACGGACCGGTCTGTTCTCCTTCGCGTCGGCACCGACCCAGCCATGGAAGCCTCCTCCGTAGAGGGTGGCGAGCAGGACCGGAGCCCCGGGGCGGGGGGCGGCGGCGGCGGCGGCAGCGGTCCCGTGCTTTCGGAGCTGCAGCGAGAGAAGCGGCTGGTGTGCGTGGAGTTCCCCGGCGTGGTGCAGGACGTGGGCAAGACCCTGATGACTCTGGGGGGAGAAGAGGGGGTCTCCCGGGTAAGGATTTTCTCCCACCCCCCGCTCCTTCTGCCATTAGCCTCTCCACCCGCAGGAGCCAGGAGAGGCACTCTGTACATGCTCAGAGAAATTACAATTATACCAGTCTTTTCTTTAAAAAATTCAGCTGTGGCTTACACACACATACATATATTGCCTATGTTGAATAGAATAGAATAGAATAGAATAGAATAGAAAATATGGAATGGAATGGAATGGAATAGAATTAGGAATAGGAATAGAATAAGGGTAGGATGGAGTGGGGTAGGGTAGGGTAGGGTAGAGTAGGGTAGAGTAGAGTAAGGGTAGGGTAGGGTAGTAGAGTAGAGTAGAATAGAATAAGGGGAGGGGAGGGGAGGAGAGGAGAGGAGAGGAATAGAATAAGGGTAGGGTAGGGTAGGGTAGGGTAGAATAGAAGAATAGAATAGAATAGAATAGAATAGAATAGAATAGAATAGAATAGAATAGAATAGAATAGAATATGAAATAGAATAGAACCTTTATTGTCACTTTAAATGTACACTAATCAGCATCCATTAAAATGAAATTTCGTTGCATTCAGCTCTCAAAAGATAACCATTATGCATTTACCCACATACACAGACAAATATGACAGACAAGCATCAAAGTCTAGTTTGAATGTATGGGGGGGAGGGAGGAAAGGAAGGAAGGAAGGAAGGAAGGAAGGAAGGAAGGAAGGAAGGAAGGAAGGAAGGAAGAACAGGAAGAGAGGAAAGGAAGGGAGGAAAGGACAAGGAAGGAAGGAGGGAGGAAGGAATTTGTCTTTGGTGCCTATGCTCTCAGTGTACATAAAAAGACAAGATACACTCGTCAAGAATCACAAGGTACAACACTTAATGATAGTCATAGGGTACAATAAGCAATCAAATCATATTAGGAAACAGTCGATATAAATCGTAAGGATACAAGCAACAAAGTTACAGTCATACAGTCATAAGTGGGAGGAGATGGGTGATGGGAACAATGAGAAGATTAATAGTAGTGCAGACTTAGTGAATAGTTTGACAGTGTTGAGGGAATTATTTGTTGAGCAGAGTGATGGCGTTTGGAAAAAACTGTCCTTGTGTCTAGTTGTTCTGGTGTGCATTTTGGTTTATGTATTGTATGCATTATATATTATACAACTGTATATATTATACAATTGTATATATTATACAATTGTATATATTGTATTTATGTATGTATGTATATATGTCTGTGTACACATATACATACATACACACAAGAAAAAATAAATGAAAAAAAGGAAACAGGCCATCCACCCTTCTATCTATCAACTATAATGATTATACCATCATATTTTCCCCCCATCTCCTTTGGCTGTTTTATTCATCAATCCATTAAAAAAAAAATTAGCAGCAAAAAACTCATTTAAGGTTTCTAAAACGTCCTTCTTGTTTGGGTGGCATTAGGATTCCAAGGACTAAAATTTGGAGTTTGGGAGTAAAGTTCTAATTTCAGATAGAATAATTTGGTCTCTTTTCCTGTAGTCATTGGGAGTGGAACTTGACCTATTGGCTGTTGCATCCTTATTAGATTTATGCCGATCCCAGCAAAAGACTTGAACTGTATTTCCGTCCCAAAGATCCTTACTGCCACCCAGTGTGTGCCAATCGTTTCCCTACCTCTTCAATGCTGTTCAAAGTGAAAAAGAAAACAAGGAGGAAACGGACAGAGGAAGGAAGTCTGGAAGAAGAAATAAAGTTTGAAGTGGAGATACTTGGTGTCATTTCCACCGTTTATAAATTTCAAGGTAATTTATTCTAAAACGGTTGGAGTTTGTGTATAAGTAAGCCCTTACACCTGCTTGTTGCACAATGTATATTTTTATTTATTTTCTTCCTTCAAGTTGCTTGATTTCTTTTACAACCCGCAACCATGATAGTTTATGAATCAAAGAATAGTATCACACAGCAGTGTGGATTCAAAGAGGAAAATTACACAGTTGTGTCCAGATGAATAATTGTGTTCCCTCGCAATTTTTTAGTGTTATCCTTTTCAGTTTATTCTAGTTTACTCCACCCTTAAACTAAGGCAGCGAGCAAAAATAATGCATCATGAGTGACTTACTTATGTACAAAATCTGTTATTTTTGTTCTTGTCCATTCTGGCTAACTAATTTGATAACTTTCCAATTTGCCTATTTCTGTGTGCACTTTAATTTCACTCTAGGTATGTCTGATTTCCAATACTTGGCGATGCATTCAGAGCCAGACGGTAAACAAACATCAATGTATAACAAAGTCTTGATGCTCAAGCCAGAAAAAGAAGATTTTTTTATGAGCGAGTTGCCACTTTATATTCCTCCACCCATTTTCTCACGCCTGGACACTCCTATCGATTATTACTATCGGCCAGATACACATCACAGGTGATTTACTTGGGATATAACGGAGTAGATATTTACTGGAATGGCTTATCTCTGGAGATGTGGGCTAATGTCTCTACTTGTAGCAAGGATCTAGCTTTTAGTAAAGTGGATTATAATGGCTGTAAATAAGCGATAAGAGTCAGTAGAGTTGTGTTATCATTCTGGCAAATAATAAGAAATTTTTCTATCGTAGGAATAATCCCCTTTTGCGACTTTTTGACAAGCAAAGTCAATGAGGAAGGCCAGATTTAATTAACGGCCGTCTTAGGTTAGGTTAGGTTAGGTTAGGTTAGGTTAGGTTAGGTTAGGATAGGATAGGATAGGATAGGATAGGATAGGATAGGATAGGATAGGATAGGATAGAATAGAATAGAATAGAATAGAATAGAATTCTTTATTGGTCAAGTGTGATTGGACACACAAGGAATTTGTCTTTGGTGCATATGCTCTCAGTGTACATAAAAGACAAGATACATTCATCAAGAATCATAAGGTACAACACTTAGTGATAGTCATAGAGTACAAATAAGCAATCAAATCGTATTAGGAAACAGTCGATATAAATCATAAGGATACAAGCAACAAAGTCATGCAGTCATAAGTGGGAGGAGATGGGTGATAGGAACGATGAGAAGATTAATAGTAGTGCAGACTTAGTGAATAGTTTGACTGTGTTGAGGGAATTATTGGTTTAGCAGAGTGATGGCGTTCGGGAAAAAACTGTCCTTGTGTCTAGTTGTTCTGGTTTGCAGTGCTCTATAGCGTCGTTTTGAGGGTAGGAGTTGAAACAGTTTATGTCCAGGGTGTGAGGGGTCTGTAGATATTTTCCCAGCCCTCTTGTTGTAACCACACAGCTCTTTAAATGACTTCTATGCAGCTGCATGAATCCAAACTTGTGCATCATATTTGGAAGAGTTTTCCAATATATAATAACGCCAGAGCTGAATTCCATTTGCCGTTGCGTGTAGAACGGCAGAAGAACGTAATGAGAGCGGATCAAATGCAATCAATTGCAAAATCTCGTTCATATCAGCAACGCTACTTTTATCAAGCCACAATGGGGCTTTGCATTGTATTGACCCCCAAATGCCCCTGTCCTCAGTTCCTTTTCCATTCTTCAATGTAACATCTGGGTGGTTTCCCAGGCTAACATCTGTGATTTTTTCCCACTCCTGCAAAGGCTTATAAAAAAAACGTTGATGTTGTAGTTTTCCATTCGAAATGGTTTTGATTCCTCTTAGAGGCTGAATTAGGTAATCTAATTCTTCAGCTCTTGATGTGAGGGTTGCAGTTGTTCTTTTTAAAAACCTTTTATTGAAGTTTATAATCAAAAGTACAAAAAAACCCCCAAAACTCAAAGCAAAAGAGGGTCAGGCTAGAATACAGGTAGTCCACAATTTACCAACATTTCCTTTGCTGAGTGAAACGTGTGTTAAGTGAGTTTTGGCCCATCTTAGGACATTCCTCGTCACAGCTGTTAAGTGAATTACTGCATTTGTTAAGTTAGTAACCCAGTTGTTATGTGAATCTGACTTCCCATTGATTTTGCTTGCCAGAAGATAATCACATGATCACGGGGACACTGCAACCGTCATAAATATGAATCAGTTGCCGATCACATGACCGTGGGGATGCTACAAGGGTCATACGTGTGAGAAACGTTCCTCATCATCACCTTTTAAAGACCCTGTAATCTCTTTCCGGGTGGAGTCTTGGGCAACTGAATGGAGCTGAGTGTTTACTGGCCGGATGCCTTTCCTGTCGCCAATGCGGAGTCTTGTTCAGCAGATATATTCTCATTGTGCCCAGAGAGAGAAATATCTGCCTCTAGCCTCCTGATTGCGAGACGAGAGTTCCACCTCTAGGCCACCGCACCACTCCTTGTGATAAACATTCCTAAGTCCCTTTTTTTTCGGTGGCATTGTAACTTCAAACGGTCACTAAATGAACTGTTTGTAAGTCAAGGACTGCCTGTCCATGACAAATCAAAGCTTTACGTTCAGCTCGCGTTGAGTTTCCTTTGTCGGTGTTGCATTGTTCTACAGGGAAGGCTATCGCAACCCTCCCCTGTCGAGCGAGAATCTGATCGGCCTGAGCAGGGCGCGGCGTCCTCACAACGCTATCTTTGTCAACTTTGAGGATGAAGAGGTCCCCTCGAAGCCGTTGGAGGCGGCCGTGCAGACGTGGAAAAAAGTCTGCAGCAACATCGTGGATCACCAAGCGGAAGAAGAGCTGAAGAAAGTAAGTTTGCCTAAGCTCGAAACCTCCCTTAAAACAAATTTTTTAAAAAAAATATCCAAGGCATACTTTGGATCGAAAATGCAACATGTTTGTTGCATTGTGTTATTTTTAAAATGCAAGTTCCTACTTCTGAGGGCGGAGCTTGGCATTCTGTGTCTTTCCTTGCCTCTTTGGGACACGTCAGATAAATTACATTGCCAAAAAAAAAAACCATGTCAGCGCTGGCATAGAGAGCAGAGGAGAGAGAGAGATAAGCTCTGAACTTTTGCCTGCTAAATCCCTTTGAAGTCAGGTTGTCGTGATAAGTGCAATGAACGTTTGTGTTGCTGCAGAGAGTCTCCCCCTTCGGGGTCTTGTCGTGTGTTTATTTTGGTGACATTAGAAAGCAGAAAGGCGATTGTGGAAGCTGTTTCTTTGAAATTGATTGTGCATGGTGAAAAAATAAAATAAAAGATAAAACCAGCGGGATTTTCACTGTTTTGCTGTTTTAAGTCTGCACGAATTCTTTTTCAGCTTTTCGAACTTCGTCCCGTGTGGTCCCGCAATGCAGTGAAAGCCAACATCAGTGTCCACCCTGACAAACTGAAACTGTTACTACCTTATTTGGCTTATTACATGGTGAGTCCCTGTTTTATCAACGTTCTGGTACCTTCTTACAAAAGACGGTGAGTTCTAGTCCCGCCTTAGGCATGTAAGCCAGATGGATGACTTTGGGATAATCACCAGGAGACGGTGAGTTCTAGTCCCACCTTAGGCATGTAAGCCAGATGGATGACCTTGCAGTTACTTATAAAGTTACGAAGGCAGGATAAAAATCGTAATCATAAATAAAAAATTTTAAAACATACTATATCTACGAAAGAAACGTTCGGTGCATTTTATGATTCCGAAATGATGAATTGCAACGAAACTGCAAAAAAATAAAAATAAAAATCACACAATCGACTGAAAAGTAGGAGAGAAGGCCTGTACTATAATCTCAGCCATTCTTTCCCCCCACCGATATGCTAACTTTTTAGCAGTCCGTTACTGATCCTTTTTTATTTTTCTCATATGATCCTTTTAGCTCACGGGACCCTGGAGAAGCCTGTGGGTTCGTTTCGGTTACGATCCTAGGAGGCACCCCGAAGCAAAGATCTACCAGGTTCTGGATTTCAGGATTCGCTGCGGCATGAAATACGGTAAAAATCTAAAACAGCAGCCGGAACATTGCTCCAGATTTCAGTCCTATTGTCAGCCTCTCTGTTTTAGTTTTTGTTTTTTGGGGGGGGGCGGATTTCGTGGCTCGCCAAATCATTCCGGGTTTCCCCGAGAACTGTACTACGCTTGTTGCTGTCCTCCCCATGGCTTGTATTACAATACGGTTGTCAGCATTCTGATGCTGCCATAAAAAGGAGGAGACAAGGCTTGACTTTTCACCTACTTATTTTCTCTGTAGATAATATCCCCTAGGAGATGGGATGGGAGGGGGGACATTCCTGTGGGCTGAGGTCAGAAGCTGGGGAGACTGACTTGGAAGATGGCCAATGAGAAGATGAGAATTGGGGAACGGAAAGGGAAGGGTTTGGGGGTCAGAGGGTTAGTATCGGCTACGACAAAGTTGGGGCCAGATCTGTCGTACTCAATAAATGGAATATTTCAGCAAAGATTAATTGTGCAATTTATTTGAGATGACATCGAAACCTGACAACGGTGTTTCTTCGCGGATCGTGTTTCCGTCTCTTTAGGGTACACCCCGAACGACATGCCAGTGAAAGCCAAACGCAGCACCTACAACTACAGCCTGCCGATCACTTTAAAAAAACCAGGTAGGTCGTTAAAAATTGGGACATTTCTTGGCGCACCTTAAGAAACGAGGAATGAACTTGCTTTCGTTTCTGCTGGAAATATTTTGAGATGCGCCACAGAGAAAACGCTTGTAAGCTAGGATGTACTTAAGGGACCTTGGAGGTCTTCTTGGAGCAGGAGACCCTATAGCCGTGATGACGAACCTATAGCATGTTTGCCAGAGGTGGCACACAGTAAGCCGTCACCCCAGCTCAGCTGTATTTTTCAACTCCCCAAATTCCTCAGCCTGAGGATTAAATTTGATTGAATCACTAAGTCATCATTCGGCAATCTCTTTTGCAAGGGTTTCCCCCCCACCCCACCCCCCATGATGTTATCCTAAAGAAATTGAGATCATCCCCTCGTATCCCTTTCAGGAAATCACGGCCTCGGCATCCAAGACTTAAAACAGGGGCTCAGCACATCTGGAACATCAGGTGCAAAATCACCATTTATGAGCAAATACAAACTTAAGGTAAGTCCTTCTCCTCCTCCTCCTGGCCATACCGGGAAGTTCTTACCTTCAGACACCTTGTTAATTTTTGGGAGATCTAGATTTACCGAAGATTCCAAGATAAGGTGAAGGGGGAGCTACAGGTAGTCCTTGGCTTATGACCGCAATTGAGCCCCATATTTTGGAGGGCGATTTTTTTTTTTAACCAAAGTACCTCAACTGGGAGAATAGAATAGAACAGAATAGAACAGAACAGAAAAAAAGAAAAGAAAAGAAAAGAGAAAAGAAAAGAAAAGTGGAATAGAATAGAACAGAACAGAACAGAACAGAATTCTGTATTGGCCAAGTGGACACACAAGGAATTTGTCTTTGGTGCCTACACTCTCAGTGTACATTAAAAGACAAGATACATTCATCAAGAATCATAAGGTACACTTAATGATAGTCATAGGGAACAAATAAGCAATCAAATCATATTAGGAAACAGCCAATATAAATCGTAAGGATACCAGCAACAAGGTTACAGTCATACTGTCATAAGTGGGAGGAGATGGGTGATAGGAATGATGAGAAGATTAATAGTAGTGCAGACTTAGGGAATTATTTGTTGAGCAGAGTGATGGCGTTCGGGGAAAAACTGTCCTTGTGTCTAGTTGTTCTGGTGTGCAGTGCTCTATAGAGTTGTTTTGAGGGTAGGAGTTGAAACAGTTTATGTCCAGGATGCGAGGGGTCTGTAGATATTTTCACAGCCCTCTTCTTGACTCGTGCAGTAGACAGGTCCTCCATGGAAGGCAGGTTGGTAGCAATTGGTAGTACAGAAGGCATCCAAAATTCAGATAGGATTTGGTCCAACCCGGCCTCTGATTCTTTGCCTTCTCCTCCTCCTAGGATTCCATATATACCTTTGAGGAAGGGTCTCTGCCCCCTTATCGACAGATGTTCTACCAGCTGTGTGATTTGAAAGTGGAAAGGTACAGCATTTGCATTGACCTGTTAATTTTAAGCTGTTAAAATCCATCTTGCGTTTTAGTCAAAACCTTGTTTCCTTTGTGCAGCTCTTCTGTGGTTGAAACCCAATCTGTGTATTTAAGCTTGGACGTCCTTTGCTTTGCAACTCTAGAAAGTCAATTGATGCTTTGTCCAGATGTTTGAGGGTACCCAACCAAGCATCTCAAGTCACAAGTGTATCCTGACTCTAGAAAGTCAATTGATGCTTTGTCCAGATGTTTGAGGGCACCCAACCAAGCATCTCGTCACAAGTGTATCCTGACTCTAGAAAGACAATTGATGCTTTGCCCAGATGTTTGAGGGCACCCAACCAAGCATCTCAAGTCACAAGTGTACCCTAGCAACAGTTATGTCATCTTTGTTAGCTATAGCTTTCCAAGAAACGGTGCTAATGACAGCCGTGGCTTAGTCCATCTAGGAGGCACGTTTCTCCTGAGCTTGGTTGTCAGAACAGGACTGTTCCCTGGCTTCACAATGTGGTTGTCCGATTCTCTGCGCCGAGAAGAACCGCTCTGAAATTTGGCTTCTGTTCAGCTTGCAGAAGATCATCCATCGAAATGACAACATGGAGGCGGCTTGTACGGAGCGGGACGGCTGGTGTCTTCCGAAGACCAACGATGAGTTGAGGGACACCATGTCGCTGATGATAAGGCAGATAATCCGATCCCAAAGGCCAGGTGAGGGGGAAGTGGGGCTGGTAAGTCCAGGTATGTTGGTCACCTGTATTATAACCGTCACGAGTCACGATTGCGATGGGCAGGCCCCATGATGGTCATAACTCGAGGTCTACCTGTAATAATGGCACCCATGCAGCTTTTCTCTTCTTCTTCTTTTAATAAAAAACACTTTTGCATTTCTTAGTGTTTTCCCCCATAATTCTGGAATCTTGTCTTTGCTGGCCACGAGATGCTCAAAAGTGCCAGATCCCATATTAATTCATGCTGAATTATCCGAATGGGGTTTTCTGAGCCTTTTGCTTCTCATTTGTAATTCCTTTTTCTCTGGTCTGTTTCAGCTCTGTTCAGAAACCCGTCCAGTGCCACAGAGGGCAAAGAGCAGCTGACTTTTGAATCTGGAGAAGAGGAAGAGGAGGAGGAAGAGGAAGAGGTTTTCAAACCTTCGGACGGGAGTGAAAATGAAATGGAGACCGAAATTCTTGACTACGTCTAACATGATGGGGCTGGTGGGCTGGACTGGTTCTTGGGGGGGGGAGGAATTTGTTTTGCTCTTTTTTGGGGAGGGGGCAGGGGGGAAGGACAGAAGAAAGGAAGAAACCCATCAATCCAACCAATGAGTCAATGAACCCATCAACTCAACCAACGCGCCAACCCAATCAACTCACCAACACAACACGTTGCATTTCCTAAATAATCTCTCTTTCCTAAATATCTTTCCTAAAGAGCTCAGCGATAGTTGGGTTTTTTGTCGCTTCCTCGATGCAGCCGTCCTTCCATCATTGGATTCAAATGTAGATACGAGACTCTAATTTTGGGGGAATTTCTTTGGCATTTTAGCATTTTTTTGCAATCGAGGGCCAAAGCCCATCTACGTCCGTCAACTTCGTCTCCTGGAGTCTTCTTCTGGATCGGCCACACTCTTGAAATTCCAACCAAGGCCATATGGTTATCTCAGGCCTTCAACAACAGCAGGCAAAATTATAATTTCATTCCTACGAGGACTGAAGTTGTTCCTGTCCTTCTCAAATAAAATAGTCACTTGGAATTTCTTTTGTGACTCCTTGAGAAAAAGAAATCTGTGATTCAATCGTTTGGAGTTTTGTGGGACATCAAATGGGCAGTGTAAGAAATGTTCACTCCTTTGTATAGCGATAAAGAGATTTCTTTTTCAGCTCGAGCGCAAATAAAAGAGATTGGTGCCTTCAAAATAGTTTTAAGTGAGATTTGTTTATAGGACACTTAAAAGAAACCCGGAGAGACATTATTTTAAAATCCAATTTGGAACTAGCTGTTGTGACCTAGGCTTACGAAGTCATTACAAGACACAATTAGTCCCAAACAAACCTATTTTATTGTAACAGCTGAGAGTAGATTAGAGTAGAGTAGAGTAGAATAGAGTTGAATAGAATAGAATAGAATAAGAATAGAATAGGATAGGATAGGATAGAATAGAATAGAATAGAATAGAATAGAATAGAATAGAATAGAATAGAATTCTTTATCGGCCAAGTGAGATTGGACACACAAAGAATTTGTCTTTGGTGCATATGCTCTCAGTGTACATAAAAGAAAAGATACATTCGTCAAGAATCATAAAGTACAACACTTACTGATAGTCATAGGGTACAAATAAACAATCGAATCATACTAGGAAACAATCAATATAAATCTTAAGGATACTAGCAACAAGGTTACACTCATACTGTCATAAGTGGGAGGAGATGGGTGATAGGAACAATGAGAAGACTAATAGTAATGCACACTTAGTAAATAGTCTGACAGTGTTGAGGGAATTATTTGTTGAGCAGAGTGATGGCGTTCGGGGAAAAACTGTCCTTGTGTCTCGTTGTTCTGGTGTGCAGTGCTCTATAGTGTCGTTTTGAGGGTAGGAGTTGAAACAGTTTATGTCCAGGGTGCGAGGGGTCTGTAGATATTTTCACAGCCCTCTTCTTGACTCGTGCAGTAGACAGGTCCTCCATGGAAGGCAGGTTGGTAGCCATTGTTTTTTCTGCAGTCCTAATTCTCCTCCGAAGTCCGTGTCTGTCTTGTTGGGTTGCAGAACCAAAGCAGACAGTTATGGAGGTGCAGATGACAGACTCCATAATTCCTCTGTAGAACTGGATCGGCAGCTCCTTGGGCAGTTTGAGCTTCCTGAGTTGGCGCAGAAAGAACATTCTTCGTTGTGCTTTTTTGATGGCGTTTCTGATGTTAGGTGTCCATTATCCATTATCCTGGTTCTTCTAATCTTATCCTCGGTCTCCAAGTGAGAGTTTTGTTTGTTATTTGTCAGGGCTGGGGGCCGAACCGTGTGAAAGCACCAGCTGCACCTCAAAGGGGAAGATAAGTTTTTTCCCCCACTTGCTGGATTTATCTTGGATATTTCCCTGCAAAACTTGGCAGGTGGCAAGGAAACCAGTCCAGCAGTTTTTCAGCTGGGGCTGCGATGCCCTTGGGTTGCCGTAGATATTGGGCTGAGCCTGAGCTATAAAGCCATCCGTCTTGGAACGTAGCAGCCCAATCGGACGTCGCCATGGATCGCTGGGCCGTTCTGGGCTTTGCTGTCCTCTTCTGCCTGGAGGCAGCAGGAGCCGCCAAGGTAACTTTCAGCTAACTAAGGGATGTAGAGGTAGTCCTTGACTTACAACAGTTCATTTCACCAACAGTTCACCAAAATTGGAAGTTTTTTAAGAAGAGATTGGACAACCATTTGTCTGAAGTGGTGTAGGGTTTCTTGCCTAAGCAGGGGGTTGGACTAGAAGACCTCCAAAGTCCCTTCCAACTCTGTCATTCTATTCTATTCTATTCTATTCTATTCTATTCTATTCTATTCTATTCTAT